TGACAGACTTTCTACATCTGTTGTACGCATTGACCTCTTTAATTATTTCATAAACAGCTATGTCACGAGCATCACTTACACAGAGATACAACAGGACACCAGGCGGGTGGGGCAGGGCCCCACTCGGGCCCCACTCGTCCCTCCCTGGATGTCCTAGAACCAGACTGTGAAATGTACATTATTATTGTCAATAAATAGAGAAGCAACCCTAAAAAAACAAACAAAAAGCAAAAGCGTGCTGGAACTAGGGGAAAAAAAACAATAAAGGAAAAAGAGGAACTTAAGAAAAAAAAAAAAAAACTGTAGAAAAAAAAACCAACAACAACAACAACAAAAAAAAACACAGTGGTGAAAGGATGCTGGAACCAGGAAAAAAAAAAAATATAAAGGAAAAAAGAGGAACTTAAGAGAAAGGAAAGAGGGCTGGGGAGGGAAGGGCCTGGGAAGTCCTGCATTTAGCTGCGTGGAATGTGGAGTAAAAGTGCTCTGCCACCGGGGTCAAAGCGAAATCGTCTGTAACAGTAAAAGTTATTACCAAATCAGCTACGGAGTTTATTCTTCAGTATGAATACATGATTTCCCACAAATAAGTAAGCACCCGCTACTTCAATGCCTCAGCTAAAACACATGAAATCGCTCATTTAGTTTTCAAGTACAAAGTTAAAATGCCTTTTTAATAATAATATATCAGAGTAAAATAATAGTCTCTTTTAAACTCCACTACAAGAAAACAAAACAAACAGTCATTGTCCAGACAGCAGACTTAATTTAACAATATATATTTTTAATAAAATGTTTTAGCACCTTGTTGAGTCACCTCCTCCCTCTGCGTATTCTAAGGAATTTCAGCATTTTTGTTGTCTGTTGAATTCTAGGGCTGTGCAACCAAATCGGTCTGTGAAGTGAAATGGGACTAGGGGACTTTAGACCGCTGCTCATGTTCTCAGGCACAGGGGTGGAGGCCGCTAGGCTGGGGCTGGGGGAGCCACCGTCCTCGCCCCTCCAGTGGAGCTGAGCCAGGGAGCTTTCCAGTTACGGGAGTTTCGGGAGTCCCGGGCCCTCTGGTGGGGGAAGTAAGTAAGTCACCACCAGCAAAGGGATCTTCTGTCCTTGTCCTCCCTGCTTGCTTTTCTCCCCCTATCCCCCAAAACTCTGCTGCCTCGGGTCAGAGACAGGTCACCCACCAAAGGCCCACCTTATATGGGTCTTAGAAACACAGAGACAAGGCTCCCCAACTCGGTCCCCAAAGACGCTGGCCTGCCTTTACCAAAACGTAAAGATTGCAGAGCTCCCGCTGCAACAGCAGAGTCCATCCTCTCATCCCTTCCCACTCCTCCTGGCCCTCCTGACCCAGCACAGAGCCTGGTGAGGAGGCAGCTGACACCTTCCCTAATCCTGGCTCAGCAGGGCACAGCCAGAAAGGCCATCCTAGCTCCAGGCCATCCCTCCATAACACCTTTTCCACCCCCGGGGTTGGGAGCGGGAGGTTTTGGCTGCTTCCTGCCAAATAGGCAAGACTCCTGGAGGACAACTCCACGGGGGCCCTCTAGGCTCCCACGCCAGAAGCAGGCAGCCTGGAGAATGCACAACGACAAACTCAGATTACTCACCTCCCGGGACCAAAACAGGGGCCTGGCTAGAAACTCGGTTCCCACCAGAATCTTGGCTCTGCCATGCTCCCGACCAAAGCAAGCAAGCAGCCCCTCTTCAGGGCACAGTGCCAGGTAGCACCCCTCCCTGCCCTGGCCCTAAGCCCGCAGCTTGAGGGGGCTCCTAAAAGCAACAGCTCTGAAAGACACTTGGAGCCGCTGCAATTCTGCACCAAGCAGCATAGAGACAGGAATTCAAAACTGCCTCCCAAATCTACTCTATTTATGTAAGCAAAACTATGAAATGAATGACTGCAGTTTTCCTGGAGGAACATCTCCCAGATGGCTCTGCTGAAATATTCCTTCTGCTAGAGAAGGTGGCGACTTCCCCAGAGTCAATTATTGGGAGGCAAGGGGAGCCGGGCCCTGTGAGACCCTTTCGGTGTCAGCCTTCCTTCCTGCCGGGCTGCCTGTCCCAATCCTTGCAACGCGCCAAAACTCACACGTGCATCCCTACCAGCCAATCACACCCAGGCCCGTTTCAAAAGCTAACAGGTCACGGATGCTGTCTTGGAAAGTTTGCTTTCCAATAGGATGTTCAATGGCAAGAAGTCTCTGGGGCTTAGACAGAAAAGGAGAGCAACAGATTCACGTCATCATCTGTGGACTGCAGACCCCTGCTAGTGCCCACCTGCAGCGCCCCCAGGCTGCCTGTTCACTGTCCCGACACTCCCTTGGGGTGGGATTAGCACCAGCCACCTGCTGGAAACCAGCTTCCTGCTCAGGCAGGAGGCCAAGGGCTGTGTCCCCAGTACTAGCACCTGGCTACCTCCCCCAGGCAAGAGTCACAGATCTCTTTGGCATCATGCTCCACCTGGCACCTGCAGGGGGGAAGCTGCCATCCTCAACCCCCAGAACCCATGTTTCTAAGGGGGAAATGGGCCTGATCTTTGGAGAGAAAATTCCACAGGGAATATGCCTGGCAATTTTCCCTAGGCCCTCTTGGTTGCCCTACTCTACCACCTTAACCTCTGCCTTATCTACAGCCTGCTGAAGCACAGCGCCCCTTGGAAGGTGACCCAATACCTGTCCCCAGAGGCCCCAGGGTTGCGGTGGATTAAGCACGTCTCAGCTTAGCCAAGTTGGCACAATCCCAAAGCCCCCACACTCTCCCCCAAGTTCTACTGTGAGACCAAGACCACAGGCTGGGCTGTAAGAAAAGCTGGTGATTGTTAACTCTTGTCCTTGCAAGGGGGACCCACAACCTCTGGGGCATCTGATCCATTCTAGGGCCCAGTCAAGTGGCTAGACCTGGAGGAACAAGTGCTCTCAAGCTGTCAGCCGTAAAGGCTCCTCTGTGCTCAGCACTCCCTCCTGGAGTAAGCCGGCCCACAGGAATCCCCAGGCTTGCCATGCCCTTGGCTACCAAGTCTCTTTCCAAGTCCCCACACCAATCCCTTGGGTGGGGCACCAGGCCCAGCTCCGGTGGAGCTGGGAAAGGCTAACTCTGTCACTAAGCAGTGGCTTGGGAGAGCCTGAAGTGTTAGATGACTCTGTCCTGATCCTGGGAGCCGGGAAGACCTTAGCGACGGCCGGCGGGGGAGGGAGCACCTTGGACTGCCTGAGGCAGCCCCTCCTCCCCCAGCCCTCCTGGAGTGGCACTGGTGGACTCCAGGCCTGAAGGACGGAGCCCCCCGCTGGAGCAAGGAGGGGCTGGGCGAGCACCACAGTTAGCACAGGGACTCTAAAGAGGGGGCAGAGGCTCCCTTCCTCGCTGCTCCAGCCCCACAGGGGCCCAGTCACCACCTGTCAGAGGTGACAGGAAGCAACTGAGCATGATCTTAAACACCAATCTGTCAAGGAGACAGTAGATTGGGGTCCAGGACCAAGCACCCCAAAAAGGAGTGAGACTGGCCACCAGCTGTGTGAATTTACTCCTGAGTAATGAGCAGGGGGTCAAAGTCTTGGTTTGGTTTTGTCACTAATTACTAATTTGGTTTAGTCAATAGGTAAGGTTCACTGTCCCATTTTTTTTTCCCCAGTGAAAGCCCCCTGGCCAAGACAGACCTGGATGTCAATTTGATTTTTGTTGGGGGAGAATAGGTAGGGGGAGTTGAGGGCTGACTTTACTGGTGCCTAGAGTTGCAGGTCAGTATCACAGGTTGCTAACAGAAGAATCTTTTGACATCACCAGGGGCAAAAGAGATAGAACACTACCTGCTAGAGGAGAGCACCTGCTGAAATAAAACCTCCTCCTTTTCCTGCCTTCAGCACCTAGCAACTTCTGGGATTGACAGTCTACCTGCAATCAGGGCAACAGAGGTAAATAGCTGCACGGGCTGACTCCACAAAGTCCTGAACCCTGGGAGAAGAGTGCTGGGAGCTCCCTGGCGTGTGTGAGAGTGCATTCGTTATGCATCAGTACAGAAATAAGCTCCTGTGTATGCGTGCGAGATTGATTGGTGTGGGGTTTATGTCTGCAGTGGGGACCGAGGCTCAGCACACTGAGCCCGCTTCCCCCACTCCCCACCCCATAATAATTCTTATACATGACCCTATCTATGTATTTATAGAGCGCCTATCACCGTAGGCCCCATCTTTCTAGGGACGTGGACTTGGGGCCATGTGCTTGCCGACACACCTCCCAGCTCTGCCAGTCCCAGGAGGTGCCATCCCCCCTCCCATTATAAAATATATATCTCTATATGCCACATATCTACACCCCATCTACCCAGGCAAGCACCTGCCCGTCGGGCCCTCACCCTGGAGCCAACAACACTGTCCCTTCCTACTGCTGACGCCAGGCCACCTGCCTTGTAGGAGGCGGAACCAAGTGCCGAGCACTGGGGGCTCCAGGTGCTGCTGACTCGAGGTAAGGGCACAGCTATCATCAGACCGAGTACTAGAAAAGAAACACACACCACTCCAACCACACACACAAGGAGAGAGACGGCCGGTCCTCCCTCCAGCCCTGACACACCCGACTCAAGAGGAGGGGAAGTAGAAGAGAAGAGTGACGAGCCCGGAAGGCAGACCTCGGGGACTCCCTGGCCGCCCAGCTGTCACCATGCCCAGTGGCCCACCTGGCCCGAGGGGTGGGAGCCAGGGCACCAGAGCCACCGCTAACTCAGAAGCACCCTGCTCCCGCACCTTGGTTTGAAACCTAAAGGGAAGGGTGTTGGGTTTTTGTTTTCTTAAAGAAAATCTCAAAACAAACATAATTATAACCAGAACCATAAGAATAATTATAATAAAAGGTGTCATCAGCCTCCCAGTATAAAACTGCAGCCTTTGGAGATGACCAAAAACATCACATTCCAGGGGCCAGGAGCCGCCTTGTGCACAGAGGGGTGGATGGTGGGGGCCTCATAAAAGAACACACAAAAGGCGACTTAGACAGGAAAGCACCAGTACGTTTTGTATGTTTTTTTATTTGCTCCAGGTGGGGTTTTGACTGTCACTTTCCCACACTCTGGATTAGTTCTGATCCCACCACAAGGAGCCCTCAAATCGGCTAAAGTGAGAAATTGGGCCTGAAGACTCCGTACCCTGCCAGGTTGCCGAGGGAGTCTCCTTTTAGAAAAAAATCAAAAGGTTATTGCATGAGTCTGGATGAATCCCACTCTCAGCTGTCCACGGTCCCGACCACCTCATCTAACCCCCTTTTTGGCAGGGAGAAACGGGAGAACACGGCTCCCAGGTTCTCCTCCTTCACTCTGTGGCAAACCAAGGGGAAGAGCCCACCGTGAGAATGCGCCATCTGCAAGCTGTCTCCCTTCCTCCATCCTTGGTGAAACCCTTTGCGCAGAAGGCCACGTGGAAGCTGATGTTTTTACTCATCTCGCTGTTTGAAAGCACCATTGTGAAGTCGGGTTGTACAGTAGTTAACAGTACCTTTTATATATATATCTCATATCTATCATATATATATAAACTGTAAACAAGAGGTAACAGCGGCTTCTAGAAACTGATTTTCTTCAAGGTTTCCTGTGTGGTAGGCACCTGAAATACTGTAGAAAAGTGTCTTGTGTGGTGTTCTCGTCTCCCTGCTGCTAACTGGGTTCTGTTTTGCGTGACCAGGAATGGTGCGGGCACGACAGCTCAGTGGCTGGGAGGGAATGCGGCCGCCTGAGTGTCTCTCTCTGTCCGTCCCCTGCTTGTGCTCCTATCTGATCAGGCTAGAGACAAAAAAAGATATATAGTAAAAAAACAAACAAACAAACAAAAAAAAAAAACAAAAAAAAAACCCAATATATAGATTTCTATAGAATTTCCTTTTTTCCTCTCTCCCACCTTTCCTCTGCAAGGTATTGTTACTATTTTTTGTTACTGGTTTTTGCTGAAATAACCTTGTTTCAGTCACAGCAAGAAACAAAACCCAAACAAACAGAAAACCCCTCTGAAAAGAGTAGAAAACAAAAGGTCTGACCGGAAAAAAAAAAAAAGGAGCGGGAGGGGGAGGAAGGGGAGGGAGCTTGGTTTTGTTTTTAAATAGGACTGAAGAATAACATTGAAAAATCAGGAGATGATGTCCAACCCTTTTCGCAAGGCAAAGCCCTCCGGTATTTCCGCCTCTGTGGTTTTTGTTTTAAATTCCTTTTTCTCTTCTGGGTGCTGATACTTCTCTCCATCCTCACGTTCTTGGTGTTTTATTATGTTTTGTGTTTTTTTTGTTTGTTTAGCTTTATGTCGCTACCTCAGTTTGCCCCCATGTCCCTTACACACACGCAAAATACTCCTTCAGCGGAGCGAAGAGGTGGCGGATGACTGGCACGCTCCACGACCGGCCCAGCAGTCTCTGCCTTGCCAAGCGGCTCATGTTGGAGACGTCAGTATAGTGGACAGGGAAACCAAATACCCTGAGGGAGAGAAGGCAAAGAGGGCAGGGTGAGTGCTGGCGGGACAAGGCTGCTCGGAAGCCATCTAACCACACAGCAGGATCCAGAGGACCAGCAGCCGCCCAGAGCAGGGACGGGGCACTCACACCCACCAACTCCCGATGCATGCTTAGTTCTGCCAAACCTTCTGTCCTTTATAAACAACCCAGCACTCGGATCGCCAACCGTGTGCCAGGCACTGTGCTGGTTTCTGTGACCTTAGAGGTAGTAAGGTTGTCACTGCCTAGAGTTTCACAACCCAGCAGAAACAAGATAATTTTGAACAATCCTGCAGAAACACCTCCAGGACACACTCTACAGTTCCCCTCTCCTCCAGGGCTAGCTCCACAGCACACACCTCGAATCTGCATGTAATGAACATACAGCCCTAGCATCCTGCACACTGAGAGGAGGGAAGGCAAAAAATGAGCTGAACTCCGGCCTGACTTCAGAAGCTGAAGGATTTCCTGTTTGCTTTGGTTGTTTGTGTAAATGGTCTCTTTGTCTGGCTAAATCCTACTTATACTCAGAGAACAAGAAGGTCATCCAGCACCGAGAGTCCTGTTTGCACCAAATCCAGGGTGGGGAGGCTGTAAGGTCTGCCTGGCCCTATGCTGGCTTGGTTTACAAGAGACCTACAAAATTGGCACCACAAGTTCAGGAAGGTCCTGCCGCTGCAGCATTTCCTTGGGGATCAGCAGGGTCTCTGAGAGACAAGGCACCATGGGATTCCTAGACTCCTCTTTTTTCCCCTTTGGGATGGAGTCTCTCTCTCTTGCCCAGGCTGCAGTACAGTCATGTGATCTCAGGTCACTGCAACCTCCACCTTCCAGGTTCAAGTGATTCTCCTGCCTCAGCTTCCTGAGTAGCTGGGACTACAGGCGCACAACACTACCATGCCAGGTTAATTTTTGTATTTTCAGTAGAGATGGGGTTTCACCACGTTGGCCAAGCAGGTCTCAAACTCCTGACCTCAGGTGATCCGCCTGCCTCCCAAAGTGCTGGGATTACAGGCATGAGCCACTGCATCTGGCCCCTAGACTCCTTTTACTTTGGACCAGCCTTACAATACACAGGAGCCTGGCTGGCCAGGAGTCCACCCCCGGAGTCTGCCATATTGGGAAATGCTTGATAAAATCCACTGTTCCCAGGGCATTTGTGAAAAAATAGCCAGATGGGAAAGGCAGAGGACCCCTCCAGCAAGCACGGCAACCAGAACACCCCATGCCACAGCCAGACCCGCACAACTTGGGTACCTTTCCATTTCAGTGCACCATAGGATGTCCTCTTTCTCATTCATGAAGACGGGGAAATGCTGGTCTTTGCCTTGCTTTATGGAGTTTGACCTCGTAGTAATGGTCCTCACTTTGCTGAACTAGAAGGTGAAGAGAAAAGAGGACTGAGCACGAATTCATTCACCAGCCAACGCTGACCATGCATCTACCAAGTATGCCAGGTACTCGCCAACCCTGACAGGGTCTGGTCCTCCCAGGGGCTGGGTATGGCTCTGAGAGAGCAGAGTTCACCAGGCAAGGAGCCTCCACACACCAAACAGCCCCACTTTTCTTCCTGCTTGGAGGTCATCTGGCCAACCGTAGTCAGGTCCATTTAGCCACAGATTTAATTTTTTTTTTTTTTTTTGAGACGAAGTCTCGCTCTGTCACCTAGGCTGGAGTGCAGTGGTGCGATCTCAGCTCACTGCAACTTCCGCCTCCTGGGTTCAAGCGATTCTCGTGCCTCAGACTCCCGAGTATCTGGGACTACAGGTGCATGCCACCACGCCCGGCTAATTTTTGTATTTTTAGTGGAGATAGGGTTTCACCATGTTGGCCAGGCTGGTCTCGAACTTCCGACCTCAGGTGATCTGCTTGCCTCAGCCTCCCAAAGTGTTGTGATTATGGGCGTGAGCCATCATGCCCAGCCTAGCCACAGACTTTAGAAGTAGAAGCCGTAGCCACTATACCTTCCAAGTCTTCTAAAGAATTAGCTCTTTCAGAGGTGGAGTAACTTGTAGGCTAAAGGATGCCAAGTTACTGAGGGGCTCAAAGATGCCCTCTGAGCTGCCAATGGTTCTGAATGCTGGAACCTGCTGACACAGAACCCAATACCTCAGGTACTCACTCCAGGAGATTCCAGCTCCAGAGAGAAATGGAGCTTCCATATCATGGGAGCCTGCTCTGATTTCAAGGCTTTTGCAATAGGTTTTGGCCAAAAAATTAAGAAATGAAAAACCACAGCAAGTCCAGGTCTTAGTAGACTCCTCAGTGTCTACCGGTGCAGTGGGCGACACTCACCAGGGAGGAAGGGCTGAAGGCCAGCAGCCCCGGGCCCTCCTCTGGCTGCCCCGCTGCATGTCCCTGCACTGGCTCCTAAATTGCATTCTCCACACTAGCTGGAGGTGCAGGCGGGACATGGCCTTGGCCACCGCTCCACTTCTTCCTGCCCTTCCTTCTCCCTGCCCCCCAGCAGAGGTCCTGGACGCTGGAGCTGACCTTGGCTATCCTTCCATGCTCCAGACACTCCTGCAGCTCCAGCTTATCATTCACAGTGGATGCCAACGGCCTAGGAGGCAGAAGAGAGACGGTAACAACAGAAACCTGGGGGACAGCGGGAAGGCCCCCAGCCACATGGCCCCCTCCCCCCCCAGCAGCCACTAATTCACAGGGTAAAGCGCCCTTCTCCAAATCATGTACACACATCGTAACCCTCTTCAAACTTCCCATAAATACACCAACACACACTGCAGCCATCCACAAACACAACTCCGCCAAGTATTCATCTGTAGAGGTAAATTCGAAAGTGGTCTCAAACTACGAATAGGCAGATAACACCCAGCAGAAGAAGGAAAAAACCACAGCTATCTTTACATCAGTTAGTCTAAAATACACTGAGCTTCAAGTGTCCTATTGCAAGGTAAGCTTTGGGGGTGACAATGTTCCGAATCTTGATTTGTGGTGATTGTTACATGGGTGTGTCCACTGGATGAGATTCATTAAGCCACAAGTCTTAAACGTACAGTTTTAAAAGACTTAAATTCTGGGCCGGGCACAGTGGCTCAAGCCTGTAATCCCAGCCCTTTGGGAGGCCAAGGCAGGCGATCACCTGAGGTCAGGAGTTCAAGACCATCCTCACCAACATGGTGAAACCCCATCTCTACTAACAATACAAAAATTAGCCAGGTGTGGTGGCAGGTGCCTGTAATCCCAGCTATTCAGGAAGCTGAGGCAGGAGAATCACTTGAACCTGGGAGGCAGAGGCTGCAGTGAGCCAAGATCATGCCTTTGCACTCCAGCCTGGGTGACAGAGCAAGACTCTGTCTCAAAAAAATACTTAAATTCTGCAGTTCCCTGAAGACCAAAATTCTGACATTAAACACATCACTTCTGAGGGTGCAGGCTGTCCCCTTCATGCTGACCTCTTCTGACAGGTAAGGGTATTTAAGGAAGGTTTCCCTGAGCACTGGCTCCAGGAATTCAGTGAGGGAACCATGGGGGCCAGCAGTTAAGTCAGGCACTCAACAGACGACCCAACTGTTTATGCGTGCACCGTCCAGTCGGCCCTGCATGCGGGACCTCTGCTCCTCCTAGAAGCTCAGAGTTCAATATTTTAGTAATGAAAGAAGCAGGCGAGAAATCCCCTAGGACCAAGGTCTGTCAGGAGACACCGAGTGGCTCTATGAAAATACTGAGCCACGTTAGCCCATCTATTTCCAATACACACATGCATCTCGGGAACTCTCAGGGGACAGTTTCAGGCCAGCTGCCCCAATGCCCCATCTCCTTCCCCTCAACAAATCCTTGACAGCAACTTTACCAAACACGTATGAGATGGGAAAGGTCTTACAACCTCATGGGAATAGCAAGGAGGGAGACTATTTGACTGAGGCCAGGTGAAATGATGTCTCCTAGTTATACCAAGTAGCAGACCAAGGAGGTTTATCACCCATGAATCAGAACACTCTGGAAAACACTTCCCTCCACAATGGACAGGGACTGAGTGGCTCTCAGTGTGCTTCTGAATTGCCAACTCTGGACAATTTCTTTTGCCTCAAAAGCCTTTTTATAATGCCAGTTTTACACCTGAGAAATTAATTTTCTTCACTTTTGGATAGTAAAATCTTTATCTGTGTAACCTAACTGAAGAAAATCTCTCAAAGAAAGGACCTGAAGCCAACCAAGTGTGTGATTAGGAAAATTAAGCAGAACCCTGAATTCACATGTAGCCGTTGCGAGATTCCCTCTCTTGGAACAGGCTATGGCCATGACTCCCTTTCCCGGTCCTAAAGCCATGCTCCATGGCTTTGCCTCAGGAGAATCTAAGCACCAGAGGGCTCGGGACACATCACCAATGTCAGAAAACCAACCACCTAACTCGGCAGCACACGTATCTTTCGTATAAAGAGAGTACTTTTAAAAGTCCTGCTTTAAGACCACTAGTTGTTGGTTTCAGACAAGTATTTTCCATACCCTGACTCCTCTTATTCCTCAAGGAAAAGGAAATAAACAACCCGGCAGAGCAGCTAGCCATTTGGCAGAGGCTGGCCGGAGAGCGCCCGGCTCAGGGACCCCCCCAACCGTGGGCCATCCCATCTGCAGTCCCAGCCCACAGCCCCCCAGGCCCGGGAGCTCTCACCAACCTGTTCATACCGGGAAGGTTACCCCAGAAGTAGCGGGCCCTGTGTGCAGCTGACACTTCTTTGGCATCAATCATCACAGGGTTGGACTACAAAACAGGAGATGGTTTGAAGATGAGCCAAGGAGGAAGACGAAACAGCGCCAGCATGCTGTGGTGTTGAGCCTGAAAGCCTCAAAGGCTCTTACTTCTCTCTCAGGAGCCACTCACTGGGCTAGCCTGCAGCCTCCAGGAGAAGCTGGAATTTCACCTAGCCACATTCTACATGCTGTCACCGAACATTCTAGGTCAGCATTGTCCAAATGAACTTCTTCGATGGTGGGGATGTCCTCTATTTACACTGTTCAATTCAGTGGCCACTAGCCCACTAGTACAGGTGGCTATTTTGTACCTAAAATGAGGCCAGTGTGATTGAAGAGCTGAATGGTTAATGTTAATATAAACAGCCACATGTGGCTGGTGGCTACCATACTGGACAGTGTGGCTCCAGACTACCCAGAGGCTGGGAAAACCCAGGCTCCAGCGAGTGTGGGTGGGTTTACCATGAGCCCCGATTATAACTCAGACACAGGCCTGCTCTCACTTACAGTCAGAACACCAGCTCGTGGTGTGACCCACCCCCAAGACTCGGGAGCACAAGTGGGCTCACGCTCCCAGAAGGGCTATCCTAAGCATGCCTCTGGCAGCAGAAGCTCTCTGTGCATGGCTCAGACTTGGCTCAGGGTTAAACTGGGACTCACATGAGGAAGAATGAAAACTCAGCTAAGTCCTGCTTGCTTCTCAGGTGCCATATCATGGTACCAGGGAGTGAGGACAGGCCTTGCTTGCTCAGGGAAAACTGATTTTTGTCCTCTCAAAGGTCCTAGTGTGAACGGACACCACACAGAATGCCCATCCCCAGAAGTCAGGTACCCCACCCAATTCGGTGAAAGGTCTTTCAACCCTGGAGGTCTATACCCACCTCTTAGGGTGAGACCACTGGTTCTTTCTGAGGTGGGCCTCTAACTCTGCTTCCTCCCTTTCAATCCGAAAGCCTGGGGCTTCCCAAACAGGCCCCTTGCAAAGCAGAAGTCATCAGTCCCCAGCTCCACAATGCAGATAAGACAGGGATGGAGCAGCAGGCCAAGGTAGAAGCCATTAGTGAGCTGGCCAAACCAAGGTTGCTGGCTATACCTCGAGAAATCGCGAGATGTCCCTCTTGTCACTAACGCCCATGGCCACCACATTCTCAAAGAGCCAGAAGAAGGGGCGGTCATCTCCCTCCTTGGGCCGCGCATCATGCAGGAGGCGGTAGAACTCAAAGAAGAGCCGGCCAGTGCCCTCTGAGAGGTCGGAAGAGAAAGCCATCAGCTGGGGCTGCCTGCACAGACAGTGGTGTGGCTTGGGCATGGGGAGGGCACGGGAAGACAGGGTCATCGGGAATAGCTGTCCCAGGGCAGAAATATCCAAGGAGGAAAAACTATGTGCAGAAGCACCAGCTGAGAAGGTGGAGGGGAAGGATGGTACCTACCGTAGAGGCCCTTGCGAGCAGGGTTGACAATGGAGAGGTCATTGCAGGGACTGCCCCCAATCACAAGATCGAATGGGCCCCACTCCTGGATCTGGGAGGATAAAGGCAACGTGATGGGCCTGCTGTCCAGGGACAGAGGCAGACAGGAAGAAAGAGAAATGATCTGTGAACTTGGCAAAGAAGTCCTCTGACCCGAAAGAGAGGAGACCTGGCTGCTCTGCAGGCTCACGACCCTAACTGCAGCCATGGGTTGAGTCCTAAACAAGAAGGGGACCAGATGGATCATCTCTCAGGCCAGTGGGGAAACCAGCATGCCCCAGGCAGGCAGCACAGCCGCCCAATGGGAAGACGACCCAAGTGGACGGCTGAGTCTGAAGGTACCCGGCGCGCTGAGTGTCTTAGGCAGGGTGTCTGGGCCATGTGAATGCCCTCCAAACGCCCTTCAGGACTCCAGAGGGCCTGTAGTCATGCTCAAGAGAAGACCCTGCCAGAGCCTCCCAGATATAAAGGCTGGTAAAGCTATTTGCCAAAAGCACTGGGAAGGCAGGAACCTCTCTCTAATCCAAAGAGCTCTACTTATAAAGGGCCCAGAAACCAGCACAGGGAGGAGCCAGAGCCCAAGTAGGCAAGGCCTCAAATAACTTTTTTTATTTTTTAAAGAGACAGAGTCTTGCTCTGCTGCCCAGGCTACAGTGTGGTGGTGTGATGCTAGCTCAGTCTTAACCTCTTGTGCTCAAGTAATCCTCCCGGCTCAGCCTCCCAAGGAGCTGGAACTACAGGGTCGTCCCACCACGCCTGGCTCATTTTTTAATTTTTTGTAGAGAGAGGGTCTCGCTATGTTGCCTAGGCTGGTCTTAAACCCCTGGCCACAAGGGATTCTCCCACCTTGGCCTCCTGAAGTGCTGGCATTATAGGCAGGAGCCACCATGCCTAGCCCAAACCTCCATTTCAATTTGCCCTTTACCCTCTCAAGACAGAGGACAAATGGAAGATAAGGAGAAAAAGAGGCTGGGGCAAAGGGTTAAGAGGAAGAGAGCAAACAAAATGAAAGGAGGCCACGGCTGCCTCTAGGGGCCGAGTGTGCAGGGAGGGGAAGACAGGCTGCGCCCCACAGCACGGACATACATGCTTCTGTGTGACGCTGCGGACGTCCCCGACGTACATGATCTTCCCCTGGTGCCGCACCATGCCCACCGTGATGGAGTCCTCACACACCTCCGAGGCAATGTAGCGGTCCACCTGAATGCCCAAGTCCTTCAGCACCAGGAGCCCTGTGCCAGCCGGCAGACAGCACTGTTACTCGGAGCCATCTCCCTGGCACCCTGGTCCTGGCAGGTGAGCCTGCTGGCCAACAGGACCTGTGGGGTCAGCTGCAGGCCCAAGTCCTATCTTTTCACTGAAGATTCCTTAAACCTTTCTGGATCCAACTGGGGTATCCATAGTAAGGACATCGAGGCTCTGTCTCACGCCTCTCTTGGCCTATGTGGAAGGCAGTCAAAGCTACGGAAAACTGACCCGAGTACATGGTTCCAGGATCTAGGAAGAATCACATGACTTTTTGGGGGCCTTTTACTGTCCTCCATATACAGCTTGGTCCTTCCACACCCTCTTATCTCCTGCTACAATTCTACCCCACCCTTCAAGACTCAACCGAATGCTCCCTGCTCCACAAAGATTTCATCAATGCCCACCCACCCTGGACTCACCACGCCATCTGCTATGAGTCCCCAGCTCTGTGCATCCCTACCTCCCCATCAGAGTGGCTTCCATTCCTCACTCAGTCCTCTCATGAGTTGCAAAGACTCTTCCAGAGGGAGGAGGCCTCCTCCCTGTGTTTTCCCCCCAGCTAACCACACTGATTTCCTTACCACGATCCCTCCCCCTCCAGAAATGCTGGCCAAACTGAGGCAAGGAAACAATCGGAGCAGACACTGAGAACACCTCAGGAGAAACAGGGTGCGGCACTGTTTCTGCTGCTCCCAACACATCCCCCCCACCAAGGAGCTTTTAAAGCCTCCTGGAGTGTGAAATGATTTAAGAAGGTCTCAAGGTTCCAGCCTGGGAAACAAAAAGCTGTAAATGAACTTTTCTAGGTTTAGAGAAGAGCAGCATGGAGCTGAGAACAGAAGACAAACATCTGGCCCAGGAAGGCACCCCTACCCTACCCTCTAGCCAGGGTCCCTGGGTTGAGACCACCTATCTTCCCTCTGGCCAAACAAAGACACAAATTCTAAGAAGAGCTGGAGAAACCCGTGGCTGGGGGGCAGGGCAGAGGGCTGGATGTGTCTTCACAACCACCTAGGATGCTTTTTGCAGTATCCAGAGCCACATAAAGTAGACAATGCCTGTAGGGTGACCCAGCATCTCCTAAAGGTTTTCCTAAGGAGGGAATGGTTGAAGTATACAAAGTTATCATATCAGGATGCTTGTCACAACACTGCTTATAATAATAAAAAAAAATAGTAAATGACCTAATAGGAGTTCATTAAATAAACCATGACACTTTGACTCAAGGGAACCCTATGCAGCACTTACAAATAAAGAATGTAGCTTTAGCTGGGCACGGTGGCTCACGTCTGTAATCCCAGCACTTTGGGAGGCTGAGGCAGGTGGATCACCTGAGGTCAGGGTTTGAGACCAGCCTGGCTAACATGGTGAAATCCCGTCTCTACTAAAAAATACTAAAATTAGCCAGGGGTGGTGGTACGTGCCTATAATCCCAGTGCCTTGGGAGGCTGAGGCAGGAGAACTGCTTGAACCCAGGAGGTGGAGGTTGCAGTGAGTGGAGATTGCACCACTGCACTCCAGCCTGGGTGACAGAGCGAGACTCTGTCTCAAAAAGAAAAAAAAATAAAGAATGCAGCTTTACATTGTTTGCCATGAAAAAGCAGTCATAATAAATGCAAAGCAAGTTACAAAACCATGTGCATTCACCATCCACTTAATTTATCTATCTATGGATGTATGGTTACATAAACACACGCACAGAAAAAAGTCCAAAAAGGATGTATGCCAAAATATTAATAAAAGGATAACGGGTGATTTAAATAGCCTTCTTTAGATCTTGTGTATAATCAAAACACAATAGAACTGTATATGTTTGTCTTGCTGAGTCTGTCCTTCGAGGCTCTGTGAAATCTCTGTGAATCCGACTAATGATCACTCCCATCCTCTGCTGCTGAGTCTTCACCATTAAGGGAAGTGTCCAGCACACAGGCTGTTTTCCCACCTAGTCCACCTTTTTGTTTTTGGTCAAATCTAATTCCATGGACTGCATACGTTTTCACTTCACACACGTTTCCTCTTTGGGGTGATATTTTAACAGCTATGAAGCTAACCGTCATTTCGTTTTGCCCACACACACGGCTCCCCAATCCTGGCACAAGGCAGCCAGCATCTCTTGGGCCTGAGCCCTCACCTGTAGCAATTCCGTCAAAGAGAGACAGCACCCGGATGGGCTTCCTCTTCTCAGCTGGGACAGGTGGGTAAACCTTTGGAGGGTCCTAAGCAGTGAGCACAACAGGTCAGGGGCACGCCCAGCCGTGTCCCACACTCCCACCCAGCGCTGACCCTCCAGCCAGGCTCCTAGACCTGCACACCCTGTGTGAAGCTCAGGCCCCACAACCAAGGCTCAGCCTAGGGAGCTCGAGACCGCCCAGCACTCACAAATTCCTGGTCGTGGTTATTAGCGAAGAACATCTGGAGCCGGGAGGGCCAGTCGTCTCGCCGCCGCAGCAGCCCGTAGGTGCCCTTGTGCCCACACATGTAGCAGTTCCAGGGGTCTTCCTTAATGGCTGCCTGGGCAGCCCCCGGCCCCACCAAGAGGTCCACACATTCCACACAAAAGCACCTGGAAGGAAACCCAGTAGCAGAGGGGACTCTCAGCCCTGGTCCAGGGAAGCCAAGGTCTGCTACCTGGAATGGAAAGACTGGGTCCAGAGCATGGCTAGGGGGTTGGGGATAGGGGCTGAGGGTCTGTGGGGAGGGGAGGGGAGGGAAGCAGAGCCAGTGGAAGGAGGCCTCATGGCTGGGGTTGGGGGTCTATGTGAGGGGCGATGAGGGAGCTGGGTGGAAGGAGGGGAGAGAAGGGGAGTAGGGGGGAGGGGAGAGAAGGGAGGAGTGGGGAGGGGAGGGAGGCCAGCCTCACCTGCAGCAATTGTTGTTCCCACACATGAGCACCTCTCGGCCCCCGCAGCAGATGGTGCAGTAGGACTGATAGCCGTCGTCGTCATACTGGTATGCACACTCTAGAAAGCAGTTCTAGACAGCAGCGGGGAGGGTCAGAAACCACCAGGGCGGGTCCCAGGATGGTCAGGACCAAGGCAGGCTCTGAGCCCAGCCTTGCAGAACCTGACTCAGCCCTAGAGACAAGACCCACCACCTCCTTAGCCAGGGTCAGCCCCAGCTGCAGATCTGGGAAGGGGAAACCAGGTCTGCCCGTGTGCCGCCATGGACAGAACCAAACAGCCTGAGATCAAGGCCAGGCAGGGGGCTGCAACACCACCTTGGGCCTTCCTGTAGCTCTGGGCTTTTCTGCTGGGCTCCTGAGGGCATGGCAACCCTGCTACACTCAGCCTGAGCAGGTCTCCGCTGCTCTGCCCCATCCCCACATCTGGGGACTAAAATGGGGCTTGAGAGACAAGAATCTTTCAGAGGAGAAAAATGAGAGCAAGTGAAAAGCCTGAAGCTCAAGGGCCCATGTCACCAGGACTCTGCTTCCAGAGGAAGCTCTGAAGTCTACATCCACACATACCGGGTGTCATCCCCATACATGCCCAGAAGTGGTGGGTACAGTCAGCCAGGAGGCCGAAGGACCGGCCTCAATGGCACCTCTCCTGGACAGGGGTGCCCCTACCTTGCAGTTTTGGCACATTCCTCCAATGAAGAGGGGGTGTTCCAGGGTAACGTTGAGACTCCCACAGGAGATGCAGATGTCTAGAAAGCAGAGCGAGGGGATGGGGTGAGTCCACCCAAGGGCCTCTCCCTCCCCGGGCTGGAGCCCAGCACCAGACCAGCCACAAAAAAAGGGTGTGCCAGAGCGGCAGCCAGAAAAAGAGTCCAGGGTGTTCCATGGAAAAGGGAGGCACTGTGGCCCCAGTCTCAGAAGGCCACCACTTCAGAGCACCAATGCCACCATCCGTGAACAGAGATGGAGTGACAGGAGGACAGAAACCTGCTCACGAGACACAGCCCTGTCTCCAGGCTACTCTGGAGGGATTCCGGGGCCATCCTCAAGTCCTGCCCCTGCCCCAATCCTCCCAGGCCCTGAGGGTCCTAAGCCAGCTCCACTAGCACCTGGCTGAGGGAGACAGACCAGGGATGACAACGGTGAGCAAAGGTGAAAGGCTGAAAGGTGACCGGCAGGCGAGTTACATCACATCCAAGAGGGGTGCCCTCCTCTGGTTACTGGGGAGTCCTAAACCCTGAAGACCAGCCCAGGCCATTGACAGGAGAGTAGGATTGACACCAGGAAGATGGTGTGAGAATCGGGGTGGAGGTGGTGTGACACGAAGGACACCGTCCCTGGTCCCTGTCATTCAAACCTTCCTAAGTGCCTACGCTACTCTGCCCCACACCATACTAGGAGCACTGGAGTTTCCAGGCAACAAACTCACCCTCAATGTTCCGGCACTTCTGCCGCACCTCGTACACCAGCCGCTCTGCAAGGGGAAGAGACCTGGCGTCAAGAGGCCGCCATGCCCGATCTTCGGATGCAGGCCTCCCGGTGCCTCCCTCTCCAGAAGCAGGCCAACTACCTCTTGTGCGCTCATCGATGATCTCCTTGACCTTGGGCTTCTCCGTTGTGCTCTTCCGGGGCTTTTTGGCTGGTGGAGGTGGTGCGTAGGCAGCTGCCTCAGGTTCCACCCACATGTCCGTGTACACTTCTTTGTAGGGATTCTTCTCCTCTGGAGCAGGAAAGCAGGGGCCAAGGTCAGTTACAGGCTGACAGGAAACCCCAGCCCCTCCCCCACCCTCCTTATAGGGAGGTGCAGCCTGGTCTCCAACTTGTTCCCACCTCTCAATTCTCTGGTTCCAGCCAGCCAACGGCCAAGCAGGTCATTCGAGTCCTGCCCTGGGTCAATGGAGACCCTGGCCATTCCCACTGGGCCCCTCCGAGGAGGCCTTGGCCACCCTCCCTAAGCATGGCTTTCCCAGCCCTGGTGTGGATCTGCCTGGCGGGCAAGGGTGCCAGATGGCTAGGTGCCCACATTTACCTTCTGGTGGCTCCAGGCCCTTGGGACCAGAGGGCTGGAAGCCCCCCAGGGCCCATTCAATCATCTGCTTGTTCTGCACCTCCACGGCCTTGGCAGTGTCACTCTCGTCGCTGTCGTGGCACACTGGGAACAGCTTCCCCGCACGGCTGCTGGCCACCTGGAGATCAACACACCAGGGATGGGGGTGTCAGGACAGGCTGGAGGGCAGATGGGTAGGGCTTAAGGCCAGACTCTGAGTAGTGAGGGTGGCACGGGCAAGGCAGGGGGAACTGCTAAGGAGGAAGAAGAAGGGCACACAAGTGGCAACTGAGGTGGGAAGGAGTCACTGCCTCCTGGTCCGACCTGCACTCTGACTTCCAGGCCTTCTAGTGCTCTAGGCACCTCCTCTGAGCTCCCAGCAGGGACACTCACCTGCAGGACCTCATAGATTGCTTTGCGATACATGGGCTGCTTGTTGTACGTGGCCTGGTGGAACGCACTGCAAAACGAGCTCAGCGGCATCAGCTTCTCAACACACACCTGCGGGGACAAGCCAGGCCTTGTTTGCTGCTGCTTCCACTTGCAAGCACCCACCCGTGCCTCGCAACTGGCAGCGGCTGGGAGCACTGAGAGTCAGTCTCAGCCCTGGAGGGGACCAGATGCAGTGACAAACAACAACCCGACACAAAGAGAGGAGTCCAGACCAAGAGTAGGGAAGTACCTGAGCGCAGGTGGAAAGGAATTCTAGTGAATATGTTCCTGGAAGGCTAAAACTGGGCCGGCATCCTAGCTCTCTGAGCCACAGGTGCAACCTAATTATCCCTAAGGCTTCTTCCAGCCACCACAGGCAGTGTGGGGATGAGTAGAACCCACTTCCATCACCCCGATTCCAGACTGCCCCCAGCCGAAACCACAGGCTCTGGGATCAAGAACGTTCCCCCCACCCCAGGCTACTGCCAAACCCACAACTCACCACTGAGAACTTGCCGTCTCCGAACCACATGACCCAGCGGGTGCCTTCAGCTGCTCGGCTCCGGCCCGTCATCCACCAAGACACAATGCGGCCTGGCCACCAGGAGAAGCCCCGCAGTTTCCCCCACACCAGCTCCCCAATGCCAAAGCCCCGGCCGTCCTGGAGCCCCAAGGAGCAGAAATCATTACACAGTGGTCACGAGGCCCTGCCACCCTGATCCCCCCATGGCAACCCCAGCCCTGGGCATCTGGGGGGCAGGACAGCCAGGAGGGAGCTCCATCTGAATGAGGCAAGACAGAGCAAAATCGGGGAGACGAAGAGGCCCGGGGTCAGGTGGAGAGAGCGAGCGGCCCGTGGGAGATGGAGAGAGGAGAGCAGGACGGGAGGAGCTGGCAGTGGAAGGCCCCCGGAAAGAGCTGGCCACGGCTGGTGAAGAAGCAAGCCGCTCACCTCGTACTCCGGCTCATCATCGCCTGCTTTGGTGGCATTCTTGTCCCCAGCATCGGCTCCCACGGGCTCTGGCGTGGTGGCCACAGTGGGGGATGCGGGGTCAGTGGGCTGCTGCACAGCAGGAGGGCTGGCCTCCTCCACCTTCTGAGACTCCCCGGAACCCTGGTTTTCTTCCACAGCATTCATTACTGCAATAACCTTGGCTTTCTTCTCAGCCTGGGGAAACAAAAAGCAAGTCACCTTGACCTCTCCAGGAATTGGCAAGGCCACCTGACACTCAAGGGAACCTTCTCAACAAGTGTGTCAAAACCTGGGACAGTGACAGAAGGTCAAGGGCTGGAGAGAGCCAACCAACTGCCTTGCCATGAAAACTGGAAAGACCTGAAGTAGAGAGGTAAACTCAAATCATGAAATTCCAGCCTTCTTTTCTGCCTTTTAGGAAAGCTTCCTCCCCAATCTAATATTCCTCAACCTCATCAGCATATCAGTTGCCCACCCTATGATATAGAAATGTTAATTCTTTTTCTTTTTTGAGGCGGAGTCTCACTCTGTTGCCAAGGCTGGAGTGCACTGGTGTGATCTCAGCTCACTGCAACCTCCACCTCCCAGGTTCAAGTGATTCTCCTGTCTCAGCCTCCTGAGCAGTTGGGATTACAGTCATGTACAACCACACCCAGCTAATTTTTGTGTTTTTAGTAGAGACGGGGTTTCACCATGTTGGTCAGGGTGGTCTCAAACTCCTTACCTCAGGTGATTCCCTGCCTTGGCCTCCCAAAGTGCTGGGATTATAGGCGCGAGTCATTGCCTGGCCTATGGAAATGTTAATTCTATCCAAATATTAATCAGGCACTATTGTTTAGGCACAGATATTGGTTCCACCTTCTCCTATCTTACTTCTTAAGACTAGGATCTTCAGCCAGGCATGTGCCTGTAATCTCAGTTACTGAGCAGGGAGGATCACTTGAGCCCAGATGTTCAAGACCAGCTTGGGCAACATAGCAAGACCCTGTCACCAAAAATTTAAAAAGCAGGGGGGACCCTCTCTTCTTCTCCAAAACTTCCCTGGGAAATCAATCCCTCCTATTCCTGGTTTCCAGGCCACAATTCTAGTTCTGTGATGTCTGCTGACAATGAAGTCACTGCTCTGGGTTTAAAGAGCCCATCTCCCCCAGCACATGCTCAAACACCATAGGAAGCTCCCCCAAGAGCCTGCCTGTTCCCATGCTCAGATGCCATGCTGGAGTTCTTATGGATCACACCCAGAATGTATTGTTACCAGATTCAACCCCTTCTGTGTGCACCCTTCAGATCCATAAATACATGTATTCATTCAGTTATTTACTGAGCAGGCACTATAGACCAGGCGTGCTCTCTGCCATCCCACCAACAAATTAATAATCCAAACCCCAGTTATTCTCCCATTGCACAGCCTCCATCCTTTCACCGCATCACACTCGTCTTTCAGGCTACGATCCACGCGCCCATTCCTTTTCACAACCCGCTCCAGGATCCCTACAAAGGAGAATGAAATCCTTGATACTTAGCGGAGAACCATTAACCTCTTACTGAATCTAGGAGACACGGCCCTCTGACTTCAAGGCTCCACACCCATTTCCACCATACTAGATTCAGATGGGGGAAAAACCCCATTTTCTACATGCCTTTCAAAGGCACTTCCCCCAGGGGCCTAGAGCTTCGAATGCAAACCCAGCCTCAAGGGCAAAGAGGATGGGGAAGCACCGTGGAGTATGAGGAAGAGCTCTAATCTCAAGTCAGAGCCTCACAACCAGCAGCTGACTCTGGAGCAGTCCTTTCTGGTAGGAGATGCTCCAATCTAAAAAGGCACTTGAACAGGAGGATTTCGGGCAAGCTTTCCTGCCCTGTTTAAGAATCTGGTGTACATATGGACGAGTGATTCCAAGGATTCTCCCAAAGCCTGTCAATGGACCCCTAGATCCAAGGGTTCCAGGTTAAGAACCTTTGTTTGAAGCTCAATGGTCTAAGGTATTATCTTACAGATTCATTTAATTTCATTGAGTCTTCAAGTTTTTGCCTCCAAGCCACAGACCAATTCTGTTTCTTATGGTTATTCTGAAAACACTGAAGATGTTACTCCTAGTTCTTCCTTTGACTCAACAAATTCTAAAACAGGATAATGCATCCTTTGCCCCCAACCCCCAAACAGCTGGGAAAATGAGCTCATGGATGGTGGAATGAGCTCAGGGATCGGACTGCGGGGGTGGAAGAATGCGGAGTAATTGCTCATCGCTCCCTAGTCCCACTCTCACCTGGCCAGGACTCTGCCCTCCCCTTCCTACTATCAATTAGCCATCACCTCCTCTCCCAGGAGAAGATGCACTGAAGTGTAGAACCCCTACGGGGGAGGGCGCCTCCCTGCCTGGGATCCTCAGCTGCCTCAGTTGCCCTCACAGAGGAGCCCACACCCCGCTGCTGCTCCTCACCCACCACTCCTTCTCAAGCTTCAGGCATGGGTGGCTGATCTAGGGTGGTGCCTTGGATGATCCAAAGACCCTGTTTCCAGAGGTGATGAGGCCCCTGAGCCAGTACAAGGTCTGCAAGGGGCAGGGGGCGGGAAGCGGAAAGGACCCGCTATCACTTCCACGGCAGAGGCAGCAGCAGGTGGGCCGGGCTCCTCCCCTGGCTCCCCAGGTCTAGGAGTCGTGCCTGACACCACCCTCAGCACTCCCCCACGGCCCCTTTGTCTCTCTTCTCAGCCCCTTCACAGCGAGTTCCTGAACATTCTTCTTCCCCCACAACTTCCCCCAGCTTGTCAGCTGCTGCGCTGCGAGCTGTTCAGCATCCCCAGCCCACTTGGTGCAGAACACGCGCCCGGCCCGGTGAGGGCGGCGGAGGAGGAAGGGGCCTCCGTCGGGACTGGGGCAGTGGGGTTAGGGAAGGAAGAAGGGGGTGGGTTAGCAGCGGGAGGCCTGACGAAAGGAGAAGAAGGGACAGACGGAGCTGGGTGGGGGAAGGGCATCATTAGAATAGGCCTGTCTGGGGCACTGGGAAAGCACCCCCTTTCCTCCTGCACTCCTACCTTCCTCCCCGGCAAACGGTAAGATAAAACAGGGGTGAACTCGAGGCTCTCCCATTTGGGCTGCAGGCTGCTCACCCCCAGGAGGGCAGAGAGGCCAGGTGGCATTCAAGAGAGACACCACACCATTTCCCCACTCCCCGCTGGCTCACGGAAGCCACTGGGCCTGGAGTCCCTCCAGCCTGGGAAATCCACCGGGAACTCCGGTGACTACTGCCTCCCGTCCAGTCCCATCTCCTCAGGTAGCTGTGCCGCTTCCCCCTCCCCCTCCCCCGGCGACTGCAGCGCTTCCCATTCCAAAGGTCAGAGGTCTGCGCGCCACCGCCTCCAAGCCCACGCGGCCTTGCGCTACCCTGGTGTCACAGGCCGGTCCCCTGTCAGGGTCGTACTGTGCCCTCCCACCCCCCACCACTTCTTTTTGGCGCCCTGCCCTGAGGCTTCCAGGAACTCGCAGGAGAGGAAGCTGTCCCTCTCCAGAGGCCGCGAGCTGGCAGGGCCCTGAGGACAGCGTGGTCCCCAGCCAGGAACGCAGGTCAACAGGGAAGTGCCAGGCACCCATCTGCCAGCGCAGCTGAAGCTGCCTCCAACCCAGCTCCTGGGCCACCAGCTCCGCATGCCCCAGCTTGCAGTTACCACGGCCCGGGCTCCTGGCCGGCTGCGCTTCCTGTCCCCCCAGGGCGCCAAGTGCCACTGGAGCCCACCAGGAGTGGGGCCTTGGGGCTCGTGGGCAGGGAGGCGGCGGCCCAGCACTAAGTCAGCATCTCCGGAACTCAGGCCGGGCCGGGACGCCGCAGCTGCTGCGGGCCGGGGAGGCATACTTGACTCTTTTCGAACCCGGAGGGCTGCAGAGATCCTCCCACCGGCCCTGCCGCCTCCCCGCCCCCGGTCTCCCCGGGGCTCCGTCCAGGAACCTACCCATAAGGCCAGGTGCAGCCCCTCTGCGGTAGCGCTCAGGTGTGAGCCCCGGCCCTGAAGCTCTGGAAGTAGTGCCCGTCTGGGGGGAGGGGAAGGGGGCGATGGGGCTGGGGGCGGAGGGGGCCACTGTGAGGGGAGGGGGGCGGCGGGGGGGAGGGAGGGAACATTTTCTTTGTCTAGGACTCCAGGTCACGTGGGCCCCGCTGGAGGGCCTGGTTGGCTGCGAGCGGCCCGGGGAGGGGGGCCGGCGCTCCGACGCTGGCGCTGGGCCAACCCCTCTCCTCCGGTCCGAGGGGCGCGGGGCCGGGGGGCGAGGCCGTTCCCCGCCCGTTCCCAGGGCCCGCCCAGGCCGGGCGGCATGGAGCGCCCCGCCTCCGGGAAGGCCGCCCGGCCCCTCCCCCAGCTCTGGAAGAGATTAGCGCGGGGCCGGGGGCCCGGGAGGGGAGTGAAGGGGCTTCTCCCCAGCCTCCTGCCCGGAGGGAGCCGGGGGTCCGGGCGAAAGCAAGCCGTAGCTTTCGGACGGCCTCGGAGAGCCGGGAGAAAGTTGTGAAAAGTGAGTTTCTCAGAAGCACANAAAAAAAAAAAAAAAAAAAAAAAAAAAAAAGAAAAAAAGAAAAAGCTTACAGATAGATAGGAGGCCCAGGAAGCTGCAGGAAAACTCAGCACACAGACGGAGAGTGACAGCAGGCGCGCGCAGACATTGGGAGCGTTCCAGATCGGGGAGTGTTTGGGGGAGCTCCCGCCTCCACACTACAGGTGAATGGCGGGGGGAACTCAAAAAGCGCGGCGTGAGGCGGTCAGGCTTCGAGTCCCAGGGCCCCACCGTCACTCCGGGCCTTCCCTGGATTTCTCATTTTCCGATTTGCAAGGTTGGTCGGGGCAAGGGCGCTCCTTCAGAAGTTCAGCAATTCCTTCATTCCCAGGCTCAAACATCTGCAGATCAAGAAGACCTGACTCCTCTCCTGGGGCCTCCAGGTGCGGCCTCCAGGTGCAGCCTCCTCCATTCAAGCTCCCTCCTCCTGAACAAAGGCACCTACCCCCAAGGCAGTCGCAGTCTTTACCCTCAGCCCTCTATTTACATTGGTTGTAGCATCAGATAAAGAAATAGACCCTGTTGGCTCTGCCCTCAGGGGCTGAAGACTTCACTAGACTTGCAGAGATATGAAAGGATCACTGTAAAACAAACATATGTAAAGGTAACTATGTCACAAATACCAAGCAGAAAAAATGGGCGGCATGGACGACAAAAGAGGTTAGAGGTGAGTTCCAGGTGAGCTGACTGGGTCTGGAGGCTGGATCGGACTTGGGATGAGGTGAGATGGATGGGATAAACAAGAGCTGCCAGGCTGGGGAGGGAGGAGACCCTCGCCCACCTCCACCCTCCCAGTACACGACATGGCAAAGGTAACAGCAAGCCTTCAGGTGCATCCGTGGGTATATTCTGTAGCAGGGAAGAATAACAGCAGGTTTTCCGATAAGATGAATGGGTATTTTGGAAAGATCAGCCTGGTTTCAATTGGCAAGATGAATTAGAAGGAAGAAGCAAGGAACTGAAGGGAAATGCTCCCAACAGCAGACGGCTCTTTGGGCAGCGACACTTGTTAGAAGATCTGGACTTGGCTGGGTACGGTGGCTCACACTTGTTATCCCAGCACTTTGGGAGGCCAAGGCAGGAGGATCACAAGGTCAGGAGTTTGAGACCAGCCTGACCAACATGGCGAAACTCCTTCTCTACTAAAAATACAAAAATTAGCCGGCTGCGGTGGCTCAAGCCTGTAATCTCAGCTACTCAGGAGGCTAATGCAGAAGAATTGCTTGAACCCAGGAGGCAGAGGTTTCAGTAAGCCAAGATCATGCCACTGCACTCCACCCTGGGCAACAGAGCAAGACTCCATTTCAAAAAAAAAAAAAAGAACTGGACTTGAGTTTTGTTTCCACCACCATGACCTTAAACAAGTCACTTAACCCCCAAGAAATCTGTTGTCTCATCTGTAAAACAGGAGTGATGACATCAGCCCTCTTGGGCCATGGAAAGCCAGCATCTCCTAACGACAGTGAGACAATTCCCTAGGTGCCTGGCTCCCAGCCACAGTCACCTGGGACATACAGGTGCTGGTATAATGAAGTCATGAGATGTGTAGTGAGGGAGCCTCCCCCCCCACCCAGGGCCATCAGAGCAAGCAATCCCTGAAGAGCAAGGACCCCAAACCAGAGAGCCTTCTACCTAGAAGACTTGGGGGGATTCAGATTGCCCCCAACCCTGAGACCCAGAATCCATACAGTTAGGAAAAGAAGCTCTTCTAAAAACAAGCAAACAAAAACACAGGCTCTCTTCTGTTCCAACCCATCTTTCAACCCAACTAAGTTATCAGCCTGGTAGGCATCTGCAGGGGCTCCCCAGGCAGAAGTGAGAAACCCGGAATTTGTCCATCTTGCCTGCTCCCAACCTCTAGGGAATGCGATATGACTTGCTTAGCTGCTTCTCTCACTGATACCTCCTCTGCATACATGCCCGGTCAACGGTCAACGGGACTGAGAACTCACCTCAGGTCTCCTCTCAAAAGAAGTTTCTGGGCTGGGCGTGGTGGCTCAAGCCTGTAATCCCAGCACTTTGGGAGGCCGAGGCGGGCGGATCACCTGAGGTTGGGAGTTCAAGATTAGCCTGACCAACATGGAGAAACCCCGTCTCTACTAAAGCTACAAAAATTAGCACATGCCTGTAATCCCAGCTACTTGGGAGACTAAGGAAGGAGAATCACTTGAACCTGGAAGTTGGAAGTTGCAGTGAGCCAAGATCACACCATTGCACTCCAGCCTGGGCAACAAGAGCGAAACTCCATCTCAAAAAAAAAAAAAGGAGTTTCTGGTTCTGGCTTGGTGGCCTTTTTCAGACACTGTCTCATGTACGCTACCCCCTCTTCCCTTATAACATGGCTAAACCCCTTAGACTCCACACTCTGGTCTTGGGACACATACTATAATGATGTGTATGCAGCAAGGACTGAAACTGTCACTTTATCTTGGCCGACATATTAAGCTATTCCCTCTAACCATCAAAATTCGTATTCTCATCTTTTAATGTTAAAGTCAAATCTTACCTCTTCCACACAGCTTTCCAACAAGCAAAAGGAAGCCTAGGCTCAAAGGTGTCCCCCTACCAACCTAGAGCATCTTCCCTCTGCTGTAACTATGCAGATGGGAAACACTGCCTTTTCTAGACCCTAAGTCACTTAAACAGAGATGTGTCTTCTTTGTAGTCAATGGACAGAGTCAGACCCCAAAGCAGAAGAGACCCCAAGATCTAGGGCAGGGGTGATTTTAGTAAAAGGAAAAATCCCGTTACTAAAATAGGGCAATCTTCAAGGATCCTCAGGTCACACATGCTCTTCAGCTTCCAAAGTAAACCTCCCTGGTAGTTTACCAGATAGGTCTTTTGATTGAGATAAAGATAGCCAACCTCAAATAGCAGTATCATGTAAAATAAGCCATGTTCTTGGATTTGTTATTAAAGTATGTCGAAAGGAGGAACTCCTGGATGAAAAGAAAATGTGCTGGATGTCAAGAGCCTAAAAGAGGTGCTGGAAAGGAAGTATTCAATGTGGTCCAACAGAGAGTGACCTGAGAGCGAGGGCACAGTTCCTGTTTGGCGGGCAGACGACAGTGATCCCACAGGCCACCAATGCCCG